TGCCCTTGGCACGACAATCCATCCCCCAGAGGTGTAAACGCCCCGCTCAGCAGGCGGGAGCCTCCCTTGCCGCTGGCCTGCACAGCGAGGAGGAAGACGGGCCCTGCGGAGGCCATTCGCTCAGAGTTAGGGCCCCGTGGCACAGGGCCCCTTTCTGGTCTCCCAAAGCCAGATTGCTGGGCGACAGTCGTGGCCTGCTTGAGGACGTGGCTAAGCAGTTCCACGGCGGCATGTCAAATCCCGCTACAGTTAACCTGTTTAACATTACGTTTAGCCGGTTAATTGATTCAACCGGATGCCGCCCCACCCCCACCCCCATGGGCTGCAGCAGGGGGACCGGGCCTGCCCCAGACAAGGGCTGCTCTGACTGGCGGGGGGTGGGGAGCTGCTCCTGCCCCTGTCAGTTAACCAGAACCAGTGCACATCACCTGGTAAGCGGGTGCCTATTCCACAGTGACGGAAACAACGCCCTTCGGAAAGCAGCCCGTGCACTGGCTGCTGTCCTGAGCCAGCAGTGATTTGGGAAGGGAGCATGGAGCTTCCGGCGGCAGTCCTGCCCGTTTCAGACCAGTGGGTAGATACCACTGAAGCAGCTGCTCTCTAGTTCAGCGAGCCCTGAAACATTCCAGTGCCGGAGCAGCAGCTGGCTTATCCCCTAGCAGACTGGAAAAATCCAATCTCTTCAGCTAGCGACATCCAGCCCTAGAAGTTCAGAAGTCAGGCTGCCCGGGGAAGTGCCCTGCTTTCTGGAGGGGATACAGGATCTTGACTTGTGGGAGGTGGAGTGGCTGGTCTTTGGAGAGAGCCAAAGCCAGCTGTGCTATACCTGGTCTGCATACTAACACCAAACTGGCTTTGACCTGTCAAACCTTCCTGCCTCTTCTGCAGCGGGGTCCCACCGGCTCTCAGGCAGAGTTTTAGACACTGTTGTTCTGATTTGCAGCAAACTAATTCACGATGAGACCATCCTGCAAAGAGCAGAAGAGCCACTGAGCTCCAGAGAAACAACACATCCCGATTTGCAGCCTTCCGAGTCCGGGTAATTGGCTAAAATGGCATGGAAGGGTCACTTCATTGTGAATGCACCATTCCCATGGCTTGCTCCTGGAGACAAACTACCTGTCCATTCACTCTGCAACTATGGTATCGGAGGGAGACTGCACTGACCTTGCGAGGCCCCTTCGCACCCGTGTGTTCTATGAGTCTAGGACTGTTCTTTGATCCACGGAAACAGGACTTGATCATCAATCTGACGACTTACATCTTGAGGAAACGTGTAGGAGCCCGGAGGCCTCAGGTCTCCATGACCCTGACGACTCAAAGCTCCCAGGTGCCCCCTCGGCTCAGACTGTCGCTATCTAATGAAGAACAGGGGAGAAGTACCCACGTGAAGCCATTCCCTGGGAGCGCCCATCACAGAAGAGGGCCTCTGGCCTGCCGAGAGGGAACAAAAAGGGCACCGCTCCCAGACGTGCACTACCCTGCTGTACAACTGGGAGCCTGTAAGCCAGACTGCAGGATCAGACCCCAGACATACCGGGTATAAGCACGCAGCTGATGAATGCCCTCAGGACTGCTGCCTGCCCGGAAGGGCATGCCCTGCACTGCTCGTGTTTGCCTGATCTTCTGGAGAGGTGGAAGTGGCAGCTAGAAGGCTGAGGGTGAAGAGCAGGGGTCATGCTTCCCAAAGAAGCTACGCATGATGTGAGTTGCTTAACTATTAGTTTAATTCCCAGAGAGCCTGGACAGGACAGAGCAGCATTTCCTTTCAGAATAACAAACTTTTCCTGCACCAAGTCTCTCGCAGGTTCCCGTTATCTCAGGAGAATCGAGCCCCATTCCCATGGTTGTTTCTTGGGGCAGACTCCCCTGCAAAGGGAAGAGGGCCCTATTTTGGCCTGCTTTGGCCTGAAGGGAGCATGTCCCTCTGGGATCCAGCAGGGAACGGAACAGGAAGTGGGGGAGAGGCTAAATCTCTTAGAACTGATGTCCAGCCACACAGCACACTCGGAGTCCTCAGGAGTAGAGGCCATTCATTAGCTGGGGCTGGAACGACAAATACGGATGTTTGCAGAACAATTCAAACCCTTCCCTGGGGGACTCAGAACAGAGCACAGAGCTGTAGAAATCTAACTCCCTAGGAGCTGAGTCAACAGCGGCAGGAGGCTGCACAATTCTCTGGCTGGTTTCAACAGAGCTGAGGCGTCTCTAAGGGCTCTACCACCAGTACCTCGTCCTCCTCTGAGGCAGACCTACTGCAGGGGATGCAGAAACAGGAAGCTGAAGGATCTAGACAGGAGCCTGAGCCTTGTCTGGAGGAAGAGACTTCCTGGGGAATGGAGACGCTGCTCTGTCATCGCTCTCTGACACAGGCGGTGGAGAGCCATAGGGCCTGAAAGCCCTCTGTACCCACCTTGAGGAAATCCCAGGTAAAGCTCTGGTGCTGTCCAAGATCACCCCGGTGCTCCCTTGAGATGGACCCGCAGAAGAGTGACCAAGAACCTGCTTTTCTCAACATCTACACTTGGAAGGGAGCGAGTGGGGACCTTGCAGGACGTGTGGGCTCTGTGGTCGGATGCACTGGCCTAGTCTAGGAGAAGGGCTCCTTCCAAGGGCTGCTCTGTATGGTCTGGAGACAGCCTGACCGATCAGAAAGCACCTGACGCATGCTTAGAAGAACAATGAGGTGCAGCACTCATGGCAGGTCCAAGCCTGCTGACATGTCCTCTGGACTCTTCTCTTCTGTTCCTTGGCCATGCCCGTCTGCTGAGCGCTCTCAGGGAAATCTCGCTGTGCTCCAGCAGACGTGATGGGGGCTCTTTGCTAGAGCACTTTTCCTTACCACGTGGCTTCCTCAAACCAACGGGCTCTGCTGGATCTGCTCTACCTAGCTTCACTCAGAGATCGGTGTACTAATTGGGAGCTAGCAGCCCTATCTTCGTTGTGACGCTAACTGTGGTTCTAGTTTCCTGTAATAGGGAACGTGGATGGGAGTACGCAACACAAGTGCAACCCAGCCTATTCGATAAGATTGTTTATGAAAACCAGTCAGCGTGGGGGAAAAGACTGAATTAGTTTAAACAAATAGGTTTCACCAATACCGCTCATGCCTGTTAAACAAGAGGAGTATGGGATTGGAAATCAATGATCCAAAATTGGAGTGTCGGAAATTAGGTCTAATTCGTGCAGAGAACAAGGAGAGCTCAGACTAGTCTGCCCATTGCTCCTTTGGGGCCGTCACCGAAGAGTCTTGTCAGGAGAAGTTGGGAAATGGGAGCAGAACAACTGCTGGCTGAAAGGGGGAGAGGCAGCAAGTTTCATCGTGACCACGAGCTCCTCCATCTCCTGGCCCTCTGGAACTGAACCCAGCACCCTGGGACCATGTGGAGCCCAATCTGAGTGGGCCAAAAGAGGAACCCAGCCAATATCGGCCCCACCAGGGCTCAGGCTAATCCCTCACGGCTGAGTGTGATTTCACGAGCCATGACCGTGTTTTGCTGGGAGTCTGTGACACAAGGCAGCACAAGTGCCCTGAGCAGCTGGGCACAGACATGGGCGGCAGGTCTCGGGAAGGGCTGGGAAGACAGCGCCATGGCTATGTTGCAAGCGTGAATCTGTGGCAACAGCAAGGGCTGCATCTCTGGGGTTCTCGTCCCTCCCTTTGTGTGCGAGTTGCTCTGGTGTTTCGTCTGGGCAGCGGGGTTGGACCGCTACCTCAGCAATAGCCACAGCTCAAGAGCTGCTCAGCTAACCTCCCCTCTGCTGCTGAAATGAGAGCTCTCCCCCGCCACGCGTCTTTCCTAGGGCTCGCTTTCGATTTGCAGTAGCGTCTTTGCCAAGCAAATAAGCCCCGAGAGCACTCTCTGCTCCAAACCCTGGAGCGTGTTAAACACGGTTCAGCGCTGGGCCGTTTCAGGGTCTGTTAACACTGTTTTAGCAGCGAGTCTCCCAGGCTCCTGCACTGGACAGAGAAGCTGGTGGCAGGCTGTCTGGGTCCTGGAACAGCGACGGCAATTTCCTGCAGTCTCTTTGGGAGATCCACCGGGTTACGAGCATGTCTCATCAAAGGCCAGGGACTGTATGTCGGGGGGTGGGGGGTGGGGTGTGTGTGTGTCTGTATGTCGTTCCGTGTGTGTGTGTGTGTGTGTGTGTGTGTGTGTGTGTGTGTGTGTGTGTGTGTGTACACCATAGTGCTCCAGGAGTTCAGAACAGTGGGGTGGGGGATTATTCAGCCAGTTCCCTCCTCCTGTAACATCCTTGAGGAACTGCCACCTCCGGGAGAGGCTCCCCCACTCGTTCAAAGTGCCTGTGCTGGGTGACAGCAGACAGAAAAGGGTCTGAGTTTGCACTGGTTCAGGCCTTCCTTCCCAGCTGGCGAAGGGAGAGGAAGGGAGGGACCTGGGGGGAGGGTGACATGTTCTTAACCCCTGTCAATGGACAACAGGCCACCAGGGGATCATGTTCCCCTTTTACTGCCAACTCCTGCACCAAAGCCTCAGCGGCTGCATGGCAAGATAAGAGGCTGCTCCGTGAGAGGTACTGTGAAGGCCTCATATAAACCCTCTGGCTTTCCCGTCACCATACCCACCTCAACACAAACAGCTGCAAGATACTGGCAATTAGGGGAGCAGCCCTACACTGAACTGAATTGAATGCTGGCGAAGTTGCATGGGCTGTATTATTCCTTTCCATACTGCATTCAACAAAAGTCTCAATTTTCATGTTACTCGAAGGGGCTGCAGAATTTACAGAAAGCCAGGCCCTTGCTCCAGAGAACACGGCCGTGCTCTCTGGAGGTGAAGAGACGCACCGCGAGGCAGCAGGCCTCTTGCCTTGCTAGAGAACTCGGGTTAGGGAAGTAGAGGTAAAAAACAGCCTTTCCAGCCCGCCAAGTAACGTCCCAGATAAGGGGCCCTGGAACCCGATTTCTGGCATTCCCAGCCCTCTGTGCTGAAGATGCAATAGTAGGGGAAGGTCCCCGGGGAGCAGGGAGAACCCACCTGTGTTGGATGGAGTGAAGCCTGGCAAGGATGGGCTGTTGAGGCCTGGGAGCAGGGCTGGAGGGATGCCCTGTAGTGCTGGATACGCAGTGGGAAGGTTAAGAGCTTGTAGAGGGGAATTCTCAAACATGCCCTGCTGCTGAGCTGCCAGACCAAGAACCTCATTGGCTTTTTTGATCCGGTCCAACTCCTGCTGAGCCATCAACTGACGTACAGTTGCTGGGTCAAAGTACTCCTTCTCCTTGTCCAGCTGGCTCCCAATGGTGTCTTTAACTTTGGAGATATGCTGTTGAGAGAAGATATGGTCACGTACAGACAGCCGAGCGCTGTACTTGATGCCACACAAAGTGCACTCTGTTTTGGGTCCCTCATAACTTGTTTGGTTTATACCAAAATGCTTGGCCATGCTTAGCTTGGACTTCTTCTCCTTTGCCCTAGCATTCTGGAACCAGACCTGAACAACTCTCTTTGGCAGTCCAATGTCATTACCCAGGACCTCACACTCCAGCATGGTGGGCGTCCTGTAGTCGTTAAAGCAGGACTTTAGGACTTTTAGCTGGAGATTAGTCATCTGAGTGCGAAAACGTTTCTGCCCTGGCCGCTCCCCACTGTCTCCAGACTTGCCTGCTGAGCCACTGGCCCCAGGGCTGGGCGAGCAGGGGTCTGCAAGGCTGGAGGTCTCGCTATAGTCCACAGTTCCCTCGTTGTCATACTCTTTACTGTAAAAGCTGGGGGCAGGGCTGACAAGGCCAGAAGACAACCGATCTTCATACTCAGACATTGCAATCATGGCAGCCTTTGTCAGGCCCTCACTAGGTCCCAAGGTCGACTTGTGGTCAGTTGCAATCCCCGTGGTACTATCGTTGTCCGCATTGCCTTCATCTCCCGTTGTAGTGTCTGTGATTGCAGTGTTGACAGAAGAACAGTCGTCATTGTCCAACTTTGTTTGGTCAAAACTCAGATTCACCGAGGATATGGAGGGGCTTTCAAAGTCTTCTATTCCTTCCACTTTAATGGAGGACGGACTAAGTAGAGTTCGAGGGGAGAGCTCCATGGTTTTGCTTGCTGGTGAGAGAGGAACCCCCTGACCATCACTACTGGTTGGTGGCAAGTGGGAAAAGTTTGCTCCATCAAAGATGTCCCCTTTCATTTGGAGTCCTCCATCACAGTCCAAGAGCATAGCAGACAAAGTCAAGTTGTACCCAGCTCTCTTAGCCTCGTGCCAGTGCCGGGATCGAATATGAGCTTCCAGGGCTGTCTTTGCTTTAAAGAGAGCTCTGCAGAAAGGACACCGCCTATGGGCTTGGGCCGGCCCCACAGCTCTAAACTGCCCCTTTCTTTCCCGCGCTCGAGTGTTCTGAAACCAAACCTGCACAACACGCTTCTTCAAGCCCACCTCATGCGCAATGTGGTCCAACATCTTCCGGGTTGGGTTAGAGTCGAGCAGGTACTTCTGGTACAGTATTTCCAGCTGCTCCGGGGTAATCGTTGTCCTCAGACGCTTGTCTCTCTGAGGCTCTTCTCCACCAGTCCCACTGTCGTTTTCCCCAGGGCTTGCACTGGCCTTTTCCTCCAGCTTTCTCTTCAGCGTGTTCATGGTGGACGTGGGGGTTGGGGGTGAAGTGGCTGAGCTTGCTGGAATCTGAGGTAGAGTCCCAGATAGCAGCTGGCTAGCAAGTAGTGGATTACTGGGGTCGAAAAGCATGAAAGGCATATCTAATGTCCTGTCCAGAAACTGCGGATGGATGAACTGGTTTTGTGCACTCAGAAAATGGAGCTGCTGGTGCTCCTGCCAATGCTCAAAGGAGGGAAACGCCAGTTTGCACTGGTCACACTGGTACGGGATTAATTGAGGAGGTAGGTTTGCCAGTTGTTGCGGGGTGGATGTGTGAAGGGGCTTGAGGGAAAGATGTGAGAGTTGAGATGGACTTGGGCTTGATTGTGGCAAAGGACACTGGGGTGCCTGTGCCGGAGGCTGTTGTTGTAACAAGGGTGGGGACGACAACGGTGAGATCTTTTGGTGTGTTGAACTTGTCTTCTGTTCTCCTTGGTCTTGATGCTGCTGCTGAGTCTCTTGCTTTGGTTGCACTTGCTTGTCTTGAGTTTGGTTTGGCTGTGTACTTGGAGGTTCAGATTGCTTTGGTTTCTCATCAGTAGCTTCTGCTTTAGAACTATACATGGAGGAGTCCTCTGCCTCAGCACTGAGCTGCAAGAAGGCTGAAGAGGTTGCATTAGCTGCAGATGTAGGGGTGCTGTAAGCTTGAGAGGGCATTGGTGTGCTGCAGGAGGAACTGGTTGGTGTCAACAGCTCCATCGCATCCATAGAGTCTTCGTTCTGGCTATCGTCCTGTCCATCCTCGTCCTCGTCCTTGTAGCAAAGCTTTTTCTGGTGTTTAATAAGATCAAAAATGCGCTGAAAGACTAGACTACATTTCTTGCACTGGTAATTCAAGTTGCTCGTTCGGATGTACCTGTCATTTGTGAGCTCCCGCCGCTCCCCGTCTTTGCCTTCCCCTTGGTTCTCATAGTTCTTCCTTGCTTTCTGGCGGGCGTTCTGGAACCACACCACAATAACACGAGTAGGGAGGTTCAGCAAATTCGAAAGTTGTTCAAATTCATCATCCTTTGGATAAGCATTCGCATCAAAAAAGTCCTGCAGGACTCTGAGCTGGTAATCAGTGAACCGCGTCCTCGAGGACCTCTTGCTTCCCCAGTATTCGTGCTTCTGAGGCTCTGGAGAGGGAGGCCGTGAATCTATCTTCAGTTCTTCCAGGCTGGTAATTGGAGGGTTGCTAAAGTTGTATGGGGAATCCTTGTTGCGCTGGCGTTCTTTGAACAGAGTGTTTCTAAACCAGTGTTTGATCACTTTCTGTGGCAGCCCAGACTTGTCTGCCATCTCTTTGATCTGTTCCTCACTGGGAGAGTTGTTAATATCAAAATACTGCCGAAGAACTCTGAGCTGGTCATCTGTGATTCGAGTACGTGGCCTCTTGTTCTGCTGCTGCTGGAGAAGGCTGGGGTTGAGCTGATGTTGGTACAGCTGAGCCAGGTCTGCCGGCAGAGGGTCTACAGGCCCCAGCTGAGGCGGTAACTGGGCAGGTAATGTTTGCAGTGGCATAGTTTGCATCATAAGGGGTGAGAAGATGGGCAGCTCCATGGGCATAGAGAGCTGGGCGAGTGGCACGGATGGCTGGGCTGGTGCGATGGTAGGAGCAGTAATAGAGGGTGCAGAAGTGGGAATGGCGGGTGTGGAAGCAGGCTGCGGAGGTGCTGCAGGGAGGGGAGGAGGGGGGGGAGGTGGAGGCGGTGGTGGCTCTGGAGTCTGAGGTCTCAAGGGATACAGTTTCTCATAGTGCTCCCTGTACTGTTTGGCAAACCTCTCCAGCTGCTTGAAGGGAAAGTAGTGTTGATGAACATGCTCTTGGTGACTCTTCAGGATGAGGATGTTCGAGAAAAGCTTGCCACACGCGTCACATTCAAGCTTTTCCAAGTTCTCGCCCTGTTCTGCCTTCCCAGTTTTCTTTTGCACCTTCTGCTTGTTCTCATTGTACTGAATAACCAGCTCAAAGCCAAAGTTTTCCAGCAAGGCTTTTGTGGCATTGCCCCTTGCATCCGATGCGATCCGTGGCGGGAGCAGGGAGGGCTCTGAACCAGTGCCCGAAGCAAAGTCTTTCTTCTCTTTGGGCTTTAAGTTGTCCGGCAGAGACTCCTTGGACAAGGAACTGCTGTCGCCCCTTTCTGCGTTTTCCCTTTGGGCCTCCTTTTCCTTCTCCCTCACAACGGACTTGTGTTTCTTCTCTGGGGGCTGGCTCTGCTGCACATGGCCAGGATGTCCCTGCGACAGAGTGAGCTGCCCGGGCTGCTGCTGTAACAGCTGGCCGTGGCTCTGCGGCGGGAGCTGGACTTGAGCCTTTAAGTCTTCCAGCAAGCTGGGCCCGGTGCCAGAGAGCGTCAGCGCCCCGCTGGTCACGGGCAGGCTAACATCTGGGCTGAGCTGGAACTCGGCGCTGGGGATGTAGAAGGGGAAGAGAAGATGCTGCTGCTGCTGCAGCTGGAGGAGGGTCTCGGTGGTCATGGGGAAGTGCGGCAAGAGGGCCGGGTTGAAGAGCTGAGACTGCAGGAGGGCGGCTTGCTGCTGCAGCTCTTGCTGGAGGTGGGCCTGCACCTGGGCCTGTGCCTGGGCTAAGGTCTGAGCCTGCTGCTGCTGCTGCTGCTGCTGCCTGGAGGCGATCATGTCGGCCAGCTTCTTCCGGTTGGCGTCCTTCGGCTCGGCCACGCTGGTGCTCAGGGGGTTACTCGCAGGTGGCCCGCCCAGGCTCTCGCTGGGCCCTTGGCTGAGGGGGCCAGGGGCTGGTGCTGTGCTGGCGCTGCTGGGCTTGGTGGTGGTGACAGTGCCAGAGCTGCTCGTGCTCACTGGGCTCGGGGTGGATGAGCCCAGGGACAGGCTGCTGCTGCTATTGCCGCCTCCACTGCTGCTGCCGCTGGCGGCTTCCAGCTTTGCGGCGCGCGCCTTCGTCTGGTGCAGCACCGAGCGCATGTGGATCTCCAGCGTGGAGCTCTGGCTGTACGCCACACTGCAGGTGTTGCACTTAAAGGGCTTGTTGTCTGGGCTGCTGGTCGGCTCCGGCTGCCCCGTAGCAGACTCCTGGAGGGCTCTCTTCAATTTATGCAGATGAGAGACCGAATTGTAATGGACCAAAAGAATGTTCTTCTGCGTGAAAGACTCTTTGCAGACTGTGCACTTGTAGGGGCGAGAGGGGTCTAGAAACTTCTCCATGGTGAAGTTAGGACCTTTCCTGAAAGGAAGGGCCCTCTTAGGTTCCAAGCCCGAGTCTTCTTGTACGGACCCCGAATCGCTTCCAGTAGGGCTCTGTTTGTCTTCCAGGTCGCTCTCTTCCTCTTTCTCATCTTCCACAATGATCGTGTGGTCGTCAGCCAGCGCAGGGTCGCCCATAGCCAGGAGGTCGCCGTTCACCAAAAGACCGCTGTACAGCTGCTGAATGTCGGCTTCACTCAGCTCCAGATGGCTCGTCTCCAGGTGCTTCTTCAGCGCTTGGAAGGTTCGGAAACTGCGCTGGCAGAGGCAGCACATGGTGGCTGCTCTGATGACATGGTACTGCGAGTGAAGCTGCAGCTTCTCGATGGTTTTGAAGGCCAGGCTGCACTGGTTGCAACGGTACTTGTAGACGTGGCGGTCGGACACCGGGAGCTGGGGCCGCTTCGCGTGAACCTCATTGAAGTGCGTCTGAAGGGCCGCTGAGCTTTTGAACAGCTGGCTGCACCCCTTCTTCCAGCAAAGGAAGCCAGAGTCCTCTCTGGCAGAGCTGTGGTCGGCAGCAACGGGCTTCACCTCCCCACAGTGTTCGACGCTCTCTGAAGACAGGAGGCTCTTTCCAGACTCCTCAGAGGTCTCTGAAAACAGAACCAGACCAAACGGGTGAAGTGATGCAAGGAGGACAGGGCTTGTCTCTGTCACTCTCACACTCCTGCAATAAAAGCACGTGTGACTGCTCATTTCTCGCTTTGAATCCCACCCAGTCCTCCTCCTTGGCCACAGGTGGAGGCATCTGCCTTCAACACGACTTGTCGTGAGGCTCAGCACGTGTTCCTCCAGCCACCCCGCCGCCCAAGTGTGCCACAGCCCCCCAAGAGCCCTCTCAGAACATTCGCGTTCTCCTCTGTATGCCCCCCCAGCTCCCCTCCAGTCTCAGGGAAGCCATGCCCCGGCTACATGCCTGCACGCTAGCCTTAGTGCCGAAGGGCAGCAGGTCCTCCTAACAGGCAGCCTAAGTTCTCACTCTGAGCTCCCCTCTCTCTCTGCATTATCGCCCCTGCACAGCCCTACACTGTTTCTCGTCCGCCTTGACGTTTGCAGCCTTCGAGTGTTGGTGGACTCCCACATCGCCCACTTAGCAGCTGTTCAAACAAGCCGGTATATCTACCCTCATGAATTCTTCCTCCAATTCAACCCTGTAGCCCCATAACTAGCTTGGTGGCTTTTCCTTGCTGTCCCGGCAGCCTGTCAAAATCTTGCTGCTCAGGACGTGCCAAGAACTGAATGTGACATTTGAGGCTCAAGGCCACTCAGGCTGCAACGAAAGGGAGTAAAATTCAGCCCCGACCGGCCCTGACCCCACTGAAGGCCGCGATGCTGAAGGAGAACTCGGCCATTCCAGTGCCCAAGAGAGCAGAGCAGTTCTGGCCAGGGCGAGGCAGTCCTACAGGTGGAGGCCGAGGAGGGGGGTTGAGAAATCACCACTCCTGCAACCCAGGAACACATGCAGGCCCCCGGCCCGAAGCAGGTGATGGTCATCGTAATCCCAAACTTCCCTGTCAAGCTCTCCTGCTGTGGTCTCTGCACCAGGCTCGACACCAACAGAATCTGGCATGGAGGGGCCTATGCTAACGGTCAGGGGAGTTCAGCACTGGATTAAGTTGCCTGGGGGGGTATTGAAGAGCAACTTGGACAGGCATCTGTCAGGGATGGTCTAGACAGTGCCGGGTCCTGCTGTGAGAGCAGAGGACTGGACTTGAGCTCTCGAGGTCCTTGCCAGTTCTAGTGTTCTGTGGTTCTGTGCACCCAAAACAGCAGCGTCCTTGTTTTGCTGCCATTTTGCACTACGAAGTCAGGACTGATGAGTTGGCTCCTGTCGCTAGCAGGCCTGACCTTACTACGTAACAGGGTAATAAAAAAGGCCAATGCAATTTTGAGCTGCTTTGCTACCCTGCCTTCCCCATGGTGTTACTTCAGTGACATTCGCTGCTTCCTGGGCTGTCTGAAAGGCACTGAGCAAAAAGGTGAAAACTTCTAGATCTCTCTACCGATTCTGGGTCATCCTGTCTCCCGCTTTCCCGTGTCTGAAGAGGTGCTTAGTTCCTGATTTAATACAGGTCGCAGGCTCTGGCTCTCTGTTCTGACAGAGGAGGCTCTGGAGATGGTGCTGAGCTTCGTTTGGTCTGCTCCAGGTTGGGGTCATCCGGACCTGTCCACGCCATAAAACAGCGCAGCCTCCAGATTGCTCTGCTGCGTGCTGGCTGGCAGGAACCCCGAGGGGCTGCGGGGGATCAGACCCACCAAGCGCAGAGACACGCCCATGGGACAGCCTTTCCCCTGGCCACAGGACCAGCACTGTGATGCAGGAGCAGCTCCGGAGACTCCTCACCCGAAGGGTCCCTTGGAGCAGAGCAAAGCAGCTCTAACACGCCAGCCAATCAGGGCCTCACACACCAGGTTTAGAGATCAGCTTCGTTCCTTGTCCACTAGACCTCCCATTCCACGGCCTGCCCTCTGCACGGGCCTGGCAAGAGAGCCAAGTCTGTCTGTCCCCGGGCCTGGCAAACAGGAGCAGCGAGCTGCCCAATTCAAAGCAGGGGATTTTTTTCAGGCAGAGCTCAGGAACTGACCAGCCTGCTTCCCTGGCTCCTCAGCGTTGCTGTTTCCATCTCGATCTGGAGTGGCTGCCGGGAGGAACATACTGCTGGGCATCATCACTTCCGGCGTGGTCACCTGAGGGAGGAGGGATGGGGGGGGGGGGCGAGAGGAGAAATAAACAGAAAAATGTTTAAACCCTTTCAGAAGCAAAAGCAGGCTCAAGGCGCGAAATCAGACGTGTCACTTTTCTCAGCTCACTCAAGGCTCCTGTTTATGAGACAAAGCTCATCAGTCAAAAGTGTTTCTACAGTTACAGTCTGGCCATAATTAGCAGGGCGCGCTCGGAGAACACTCTTATTATTCATATTTCTCCTTTCTGTACCATTCAGTCTTTGATCACTGAATGTTTTGTCATGGGCTGTGAAACTTCTTGTGCAGCCAATTAGGCAGAGAAGTTGAAAGGCCCACCTTACGCTGCTGAAAACACAACAGGGCCCTAATTAAATCAGACCTGCAACGTACACCGTCCTCTTGGTCTGGGGCGCACGGCAGCACTATTTCCAGAGTATGCTGCTGCAAACGAAGCCGGGGCCCGAGAAAGAAGAGCACAAAGGCAGAGGTGGCAAGAGAACGGATGGACAGACGGCACACTGCCTGAAACACAAAGCTTTTGTAACCTTCCCGTGTGCTGCCTGCTGGAAAGAAAACCAGTGTCCCTTCTGGCTCCCTTTGACTCTAATTCTGCCTGCCCCTGCCCCGGCCCGAAGGCCAGGGTGCTGCATGTGACTCTGGACGTGGTCTTTGGGAGCCCGCTCTGAGATGGGTTCAGCACTTTCCTAAGACCAGGCCCCCCAAGGACCCGAAGCTGAGCCCCCAAAATCACTAGTTAGTTTTGACAGTCGCGGCCAAAAGGACTAGCTCTTTGGCCTGCGTTTAACACGCGGCAGCAGCCACAGAACCCGAAGCGCCACGTGCACAGCGTCTGGGCTGCCCCCCAACACGGCAGCTCAGGAAGCCGCTCAAGCCCACTGCTCCCGCGAACAGACAGCCCCCGCGAGTGCTGCCTGCACACACGTGCTCCAGGTCAGTTCTCCGAGCAGCCTGTCGCCCGGCTGCCGAAAGGAGCATCCTTAGCATCCCGGAGCCATCCAGGGGGCGGCCGATCCAACCGATTCTCCGTGCCGGAGCCCTGTGCCCGCCGGGAGAGGGCTAATGGCGCGCGGCCAACAGTGAAGCCACAGAAGGCCCCCAACAGGCCAGGCAGAGGAACAGACTCCTGGGGGCCCAGGCAGTCACTGTCATCCGGCCCAGCTGCCGCCCTCCTGCTAAGTGAACTGAAGCCAAATGCCGCAAGGCTGGGTGCGGGGGTGGGGGGGCTGGTGCTGGCCAAGGAATCGCTGGCCACGCCGTTTCCTTGGGTAGGGGCCTGCCCGCACCGTGCACAGGCGCGAGGGGAGCGGACGTGGACAGCAGCGGGGAGGGCTGCTGTGGCTCCCCCAGCCGGGCCAGGGCTCAGCGCTGCTACGCCAGGTGGTGCTGGGGCAAGCGGGGCCCTGGCGGTGAGAGAGGGGCGGGGGCAGCCCCTGCAAAGCCCCAAGCCCAGCCCCTCGCTCCAAAGCAGAACACTGCTATGGGCTGCGGCTCAGAGTCCACGGGCAACGCAAGAGGGGGACGGCACCAAGTCACTCCCAGTAACCAGCCTCGGCGGACAGGGAAGGAGGTGGCAGCAGAGGCAGGAAGCCGGAGAGCAAGCAAGGGGTCTCTGTTGTATCGGCAGGGAACGTGCTGTCCCAGGATCTTTAGGAATGATAAGAAATAAATAATGAGAAATTAAAAAATCCCCAGCAGAGTAGAGAAAGAACGAAACGATCTAGCACCTCAGTAGCACATCATTACAGAAACCGGTGGGCTTTTCAGACACGTTACAGTAAGGCAGTCATCCCCACTAACAGACTCGGTACGACGGATCAGTAATTGTTTTCATACACTTTAATTAGAAAAACTCAGATGGCTATGAATAATAATGGAAAAGAGAGACTTTTGCACTTGAAAGGTTGAAGTCAATCAAGTGTGAATGACGGCAAAAGGGAAAAAAAAGACACCAATTCATCAGGGCTCTGTTGTCTCGCCGCATCTTTAATCATAATTCCTGATTGGGATTCAAGCAGGCAGTAAGCAGAGTTTCTTTGTCTGCCTTCACCTTCTGTCAATTAACTCACCCCAAAATATAATCATCAACCTCACGTGCGCCTCTGCATCTTAATCTGGGCCTCCTGCCCCTCCGTGCTGAGTAATCACCTGCACCTAAGCGCATCTCCACAGCCTCCGGGCCTGCCCTGGCTGCCCCTGCCCAGGGCTTTGGTGCAAGACATGGTCATCCGGCAGAAAGTTCCTGGGGGGGGCGGCTGGGACAAAGCTGGGGGTGCATGCTCAGGCTTCTCCAGCAAGCCACTTACAGCTCTGTTTGGCTCCTGGCCTGGCCCCTCCACCTCTGTCGTATGCCAGCTCCACTCAGCCTTCTTCAAATGCAGTCCTCTCTGCTGCAGCAGTGTGCCCCCTCCCATGCCCAGTCAGTCTTCCTCGGCCCGTGCGCTGGGTCCCAGGCCCGCCTCTTCACCTGGTCTGTCTTCTCACACTGTAAGCTCTTTGGGGCAGGGACTGTGGCTTTCCTCTGTGGGCAGAAAGGGCCTGGCCCGCCCTGGTGGGTCTGGGATAGGGTGAAAAGGAAGGCGCTAGATCCTGGCTGCCAATCCCAGATACCCAGTTGTGGTGCTCAAATGGCATTAGCTGATCTGTTCATGCTTCGTGCTCTGTTTACATGGTGTAACTGCCAGGAGCGGAACGGCGGATGGGGACTGAGCCTAGTTGGAGACGTTCACATGCAGGTCTGATGTGATCAAGTTGGTCACCTCCCCGTCAGCTGCTCCACTGACCCTTGCCCCTGCCTCCCAACGCCCAAAAGCTCGCATCTCCCGAATCGTGCTGCTCCAAGGTCCTGGGCGCCCACAGGAGGGCAGGAAACAACCCGAGGGCAGTGCATGACAGCAGTGCGCCCGGGTGAGCTTGCTGCGGCAACCTACAGCCTGGGTTGTGCACACTGGGGTAGCGCTAGGAGCCCCCACCCTGGGCTGTGCAAACACAACCCAGAGAGCTCACCACCTGGCATAGTTGCTTAGCCACACTCACCGTGCCATGCTCAAATCAGACCGTCGGCCCCTTGGGATCTGGGAGGAAAGGGAATCACCATTGCCCCTCGGCATTTCAAACCTGCCTCTCCCCACAGGTGTCAC